TCTTCATGATGAAAACAATCCAGGACAATCCCTTCCTCCGGGCAGGCCAGTTCCCCCTGGGACCTTGGTCTCCCCCTGAGCATAGGTCTCCCCCTGATTGTGGGTCTCCCTCTGATCGTGGGTCCCTCTGACCGTGGGTCCCCCTGACTTCAGGTGTCCCTGACTGTGAGGTCTCTGCCCATAGGTCCCCCTCTTACTTTTGTCACCCTGACTGTGGGTCCCCCCCCGAGCATGGATCCACCCTGACCATGGGTCCCCCTCGGACCATGGGTCCCCCCAGAATGTGAGTCCCCTCTGACCGTGGGTACCCCCTGACCAGGGATTCCCCTTCTGACTGGGTCCCCCCTCATGTCGGTCCCCCTCTGACTGTGAGTCCCTCCGGAATGTGGGTCTCCCTCTGACTGTGGGTCCACCTGACCGTGGGTCCCCCTCTGACCATGGGTTCCCCTCTGACCATGGGTCCTCTGACTGTGAGTCCCCCTTGACCATGGTTCCCTCTCTGACTGTGGGTCCCCCTCTGACTGTGGGTCCTCCCTGACCATGGGTCTCCCTCTGACTGTGGGTCCCCCCTGACTGTGGGTCCCCCTCTGACTGTGGGTCCTCCCTGACCATGGGTCTCCCTCTGACTGTGGGTCCCCCCTGACTGTGGGTCCCCCCTGACCGTGGGTCCCCCTCTGACCATGGTTTCCCCTGACATGGGTCCCCCTCTGAGTGTGGGTCCCCCCTGACTGCAGAACCCCTCTGATCATGCGTTCCCCTCTGATTGTGGGTCTCCGGTCTGCAAGTAGCCTTTCCCAGACCTGGGCCCTCAAGGTGCCCTTTATGGTTGTATGTTACTACTGGCCTTTGCTTGATGCTTTATTTTATTATAGAGGGAAGATGCTTCCTGAGTTTGTTCCACCATCAAGTAATATTTTATAAGCAACGGTCCCAAGTGGGTGGGAGTTCCTCTCTTTCGAAGCTCACAGTGCAGGTCTCCTGTTGTCGGTGTCTGGTCCCCAGCACGGGGCCCAGCCAGCCCGGCCCCTCCACCATCTCATTCCCACCTGGCCCCAGAGGGGACAAGCCAAAGTTAGATGGTGACATGAGCTCTCTTCCTTCCCAAACAGGTCTGCTTAGACTCTCAGGAAGTGATTTTCTTTTTCAAATGGGAGGTTTTGTTGGAAGATGAACAGAGAACCCAATCAGTTAAAACACCAGGACAGGCCCAGGATCTTGACTGCACACACGGGGTAAATTGGAACCTTGGCCGAAAGCCTGAGATGCTGACCCCCTTTGTGCAAACAGCCCTAGCCTGTCCGTGGCCGAGGGCAGCGCCCCAAGTCGGCACCTCCGCCCGGTGTGCACAACAGCCCTCGCGCCCAACACACGCCGAGGGAGGAGGCAGCTGCGGAGTCCACGGGAGGCACAGTCTTAGGGGACGAGCAGCTGTAGCTTCCAAGTCTGGACACACCAGGCCTTCAATGCATTGTTCGTGGTCAGGCCGGTTCCCGGAGACGAGTGACGGGGCCGTGGCTCTGCGCCAACCGCTGGGCCTCGCTGGCCGTCGCCGGCCACTAAGACAGAGAAATCCGTTCCATTCAAGGCTCTACAGTTTATTCCCCACCCTTGATGTTTAGGAAGTGATTTAAGTAGCTCTTCTGCCCCTTGAAAACTACAGTGCGGCTCTGACCCTTCTTGACTTGGGAGTCTGTAGTGAAATCGAATCAGGCGACTTTTCTACCTGGGCCGAAGTTGGCCACCGACCTCCTTTGGGCTCCGTGGATCGCTGCTCTTTGTCAGTGGGCCCGGGCCTTGCAGAGATGGGGCCACGGAGGACAGTCTGACCTCTGCGGTGAAACAGGATTTGCTAGATCTCCGTCCTCCGGAGCCTGGCAATGCCTGAGCCTGACAACTGTCGCTCCCCAGGCCCCTCTCCGGCAGCCTTGGCCACGAGCCGTATCTTCCCCGTCACACCTCTGGGGTTGGCCACTTCTCTTTCTAAGGACTCCCAGACCAGCCTTGTCCTGCACCCATGACTTCCTCCAGCCTCAGCCCAGCCCGCATCCAGCCTCCTGGAGAATGAAGACTCGGTTTCACTGCAGGGAGGCCGAGATCTATGAGCTCGTCCTTGAGTGGCGCTGCCCATGCACGGAGGGGGACAGGCCCTCAGGCAGGCCCAGGGGAAGGCGGGGGCCTGGGGTGCCTGGGCTGCCCCTTCCCCAGTCAGCCCCTCCCACAGGCTCTGATGCAGACTGCAGCCGGACCCACTTCGCCACCGGTGGAGACTGGCTGAGAGTGGGCCCTCGGGAAGGGGGCTGCGGTTCCAGGGCCAGGGCCGGTGCAGTGGGACTCGTGGGCCGGCAGGGCAGGACCTTGGCCGGCGCAGGGTCGGGGCCGGGACTCACCTGCAGGTGTGTCCAGACTTGGAAGCTACAGCTGCTCGTCCCCTAAGACTGTGCCTCCGGGCCGGCAGGGCAGGACCTTGGCCGGCGCAGGGTCGGGGCCGGGACTCACCTTGGCCCGTGGGAGGCACTCCTTGGATGGCGTGAATATGGGCTGTGTCCATGCAGGCCATCACGGGGGCCAAGGCCCAGGTGGGGGGGCTCTGTGCCACTGGCGTGCCCTGCACGTGTGTCTGGGCCCCATGCCGGCCCCTTCCTCCCTCTCCTCACCCTCTCCCCAGCCCCTCCCTGCCTTCTCCCTCTTCCTCTCCTCCTCTTGGTACTGGAGAGGGTCGAACGGTGTCCCTCTACGCCCTAAATCTTAGTTAAGATGAGGTCGGCCTGGGTCAGGGTGGGCCCTAAATCCAGCGGCTGGTGTGCTCTGGACGAGGGGGAGACAGACACAGGGAGAAGCAGAGAAGGGGTGCGGCTTACGCAGGATGGCCTCGAGCCCCTGGCCGCTGGAGGAGGCACGGAAGGGTCCTCCCTGTGAGCCCTCGCAGGACCCGGCCTGCCGATACCTTGTTCTTGGACTCCAGCCTCCAGACCGGGAAAGAAGAAATCTCTAAGCCACCAGGACCCTCCTGGAGCTCACAGCCTTCACCTGGCCCTCACCACCCGGGGCTCCCGGGGGCCCAGGCCCAGCTCTTCTCTCGGGCTGTATTTTGCCAAATTCTGGTGTTCGCTCCTGTTACCTCTTGGTCACTCTCTGGACTCAAGGAGAACGTGATGAGGGGGGACTCAGCCTGGATCTGAAGCGGGCAACTTCGCTGTCCCTTTGTCACCCCCATGGTCTGTTCAGGGTGACATTTTGAACCACACGTGACATTGGCACTCCCTGAGACACTGTGCCCTCTGGGCCCTCAGAGTGCAGATCCCCAGGGCAGTCGGGTGACCACTCCCCCTCACAGCCTGGGAGCCACTGCGGATGTGACAGGTGCCTTCCCCCTTCCTGGTGGCCTGCTCACAGCAGCCCTGGCACCTGGCACCGTGCAGGGACTCAGAGAGATAAATCACACTCTCCCAGGGGAACGGTGGAGCCCTGTGCTCAGGCCCAGACCGAGTGAGAGGGGGCTGGGGGAGGGAGGACGGTGGGGGAGGGAGGACAGTGAGGGTGGGAGGACGGTGGAGGAGGGGAGGACGGTGGGGGAGGGAGGTCGGCGGGGGAGCATGGACAGTGGGAGGGAGCAAGGATCCTGGACGGTTCTTGGCTTAGACACCCGTCGTCACTCCCCGAAGGCCCAGATCAAGGTCCGTAGGAGCCCCTGCTCCCAGTGGCCGACCCTGTCCTACCCGGAGCTGGCTGGCCAGGATCCCGCACAGCACCTGGGCATTCCAGCTTCCCTCTGCTTGTGCTGCGAGGGGCCCAAGGGTCCTTCCCAGAACCTCCCAACCAGGGACTGTGGCAGGAGGAGCCCCCTCCTCAGGCCTCCACTCCTGGCCCCTGGATTCTTGACATTAACGCCCCACGGGCCCTGGGAGGGTGGGAATGAGGATGCCGGGGTGAAGGCGGGGGGCCGGGGCACCTGCGTCAGGGCTGGAGAAGTCTCGGGAGCAGCTGGGCAGGGGTTCCAGTGCTGCTGGGGTGGTAGAGAGCAGTCTGTCTCTAAGGACAGAATGATCTCGGATCCACTCAGCGTGGCTGCCTTGTTTCTGGAAAGCTGGGAACTGGGGGGTGGGGGGCAGGGACGGGATGTGGGGCTGGGGGACCTTCCACACTGCCCAGAGCCCGCCTGCCGGCTCCGGCCCCGGCCTGAATGGCCATTCGAAAGCCGCAGCTGCCCTCCCCAGGAGGGGGGGCTGAACACACTGACCATCTGAGCAGCAGGGCCAGTGGGCAGCAGCTCCTTGCAGGACCCCCACCCTACAGTAGGGAGAAGCGTCGGCTCAGACCACACAGGCAGCTGAGCCTTCCGTCCCCTGCCCTCCTGATGAGCCGCCCCGTGTGCTCGTCCGGCCTCCTCCTCCCCAGCGGTCTTACCGCACCTATTATGTGCAGGGTAGATGGCTGTGGCGGGAGCCAGGGGCCCCCCGGGGACAGGATTCCCAAGGGCCTGGGCGTCTGGGTGGGGCCTCTGCCCCACAGCAAGGCTGGGTGCCCACCGGCCACGCACTGAGCACAGTGAGATGGTTCGAGACTCTGGATGGAGCCGGGCCAAGCGGGAAGGAGCCTGAGGGGGGACGTTCCCTGGCATGGACCCGTGAACCATGAATCCCCTGTCCTGAGCCACAGACAGCCGTGGGCCGGGAGCCCCCGTGCAGCAGGGGACAGGAAGCCCCACTCGCCCTGCCTCCCAGGAGCGGGTGACTGCGCAGGGCAGGGATTCTCGCTCTCGGACACCGACCCCCGGGGGCGGGGGGTACTTCTCTGTAGCAGGTCGTCCTAGGTGCCTTTACCCATTAAAGGCCAGTGGCAACTCCACGTGTGACAACCGAAAAATGCCACCAGACCTTGCCCAGCGTCCCCTAAGAGACACAACCCCTGGGGCGAACACCGATGGGGCGGGGCCCTGGGCGAGCAGGAAAGACAAGCCTTGCAGGCGCCTGCCGCGCTGACCGAAGCCACTAGACACAGACGCCGCTTCCATCTTGTATTCTTATAAATCGGGTTTCCAGAAGCAGACACGAGAACATTGGCCTCCGGCCTGCCCAAAGCACAGCATGAGGAGCGGACGGTGATGTCCAGGCTGAGGGGCAAAGGGTCACTGTACGTCTTCCCAGACCCAAAGGAGCCGGAACGAGACCCCGGGGTCCTGCCTGGGTGGGCGCCCGGCGAGCAGGGTCTGCTGCAGGGGAGCTGCAGGAGGGCTCCGCACGCCCTTCCACACCCGGTGGTCACTTGTGCTTTTTGCTCCGGATGCCCGTGACCCCGTCCCTCTGTAGCGACACATCCCTTCTAATGCTTCACGTGGTCTGATGCTCATGAGTCTCCCCACACTCATGTCACAGCCGTGTGTGGAGTTCTGGGCACAAAAATAGACAACGAACAATTTCTTTTAACAGCTCCGCCCCTGAGCCTGGTCCCCGTGTTTGTCCAGTCCGGGTCTGGGGCCTGCAGGCTTCTGACGCCCGCCCACCAGGGCTGAGTGATCACAGGCAGGACGACAGGCTGCGTCTCCCACGGGGTGCGCACACCCGCGTGACCTGGCAGCCTCCTTCACAGAACCTTCTGGAAACAAAAGTGGCTAGATTCATTTGGGGCCACAACATGGAAACCTTCAGAGCTGTGGGCCGCATACCTCTGCTGTCCGTTGCTGGGCCCGGGGGGCTCCGAGGAGCCTGGTAAACAGTTCTGGGGGGGCCAGGGGTGACAGGTGCAGAGGATGGGTGGAATTAGCGCCACATTCTGACCAGCTGCCGCTCTGCCGGGAGAACGCCTCCTCCATGCGGGTCATGGCGCCACTTTGAAGGCCCTCGATGGCCACCTGGTGAAGCCCGTGTCCACCAGAGACTCGAGCTCCCAATCCTGCCTGAGCGAGTTTCTGGGTTTCCCTGGAGGCCGCGGCTCCTGCCATGGTGGCCCCAGCAGCAGACTATCTTCTCGAAAAATTCCACTGTCTTTTTAGGAGGGAAATCCAGCTTTTGACCAAAACAAACAAGGTCGGGCTTTCTTCCCAGTGAAGATCCCAGAGAAACACAAACTCCCAGGAGTCATTTAGGGATTTTGCAGTGTTGACCACTTCCTGCATCCTGGACACACACACGTGCAGACACACAGGTCCTACATCTTGGGGTGCAGGTGGGGTGGGAGTCCTGCACCTACGTGTCCCACAGACACCCTTGAGTGACCTTCACCCAACAGGGTAGTTGCGGAAAAACCCGCACCCTCTCTCTTCTTCCTAAATGAGACGACCTTCTCTGGTCTCAGAAAACCTCCATCTCTCCAAACCCCCCGCAGGTTTTGGATATTGAGAAGGGCCCCATGGGCTGCAGGGGGGCGGTAGGGGAGGGAGCCATCACGAAGCCCCAGAGCTGGGGAGCCTGCCCACATGGGGGGCATGTGTGTTCTGGAGCTGCTGACTCTTTCGAAAGGTCCTCATTCCAGGATTGGGGCAGCCCCTGGAACATTCTCCTTGGGGTCAGGCACAGTCCTGCGTGTCCCTTCAGGCCGGAGAGGCCCCGTGTCCACGAAGCCCCCTTGTTAATGGCGCCGATGGGGGCAGATGGTCCCCCTTGGCCACCAGGCCTTGCCCGAGTCAATTCTCAAGCTGCTGACCGCCGTCCCTCCTGGTGGCATCTCACAGAAGCCCCGTCCACCTCCCAGGCGGTGAGTTCTCGTCAAACGTAGTCTAAGAAAGAGAAAGAAGGTGGTGTCGTGGAACACGGCACCTGCTTCCCTCCATGGGGGAGGCAGACGGCTGGCTTTTCTCGGGGCTCAGAATGGTGAAAACAAAGGGCTGAGAACTGAAAACCCACAAACGGTGCACTTCGTTTGACCCTAAGAACAGTCAGGCCCTAATGGTTTGGCAGGTTGCTGTTCTCAAGTTGTCTGAAACGGGCTTGTCTGGACTCAGGAGCACATCCTGGGCCGCAGGCCAGCCGCCAGGACCAGGCTCCCCGGGATCAACAGGTGGGCCCCTCGTGGGGGGCGCTGCATTTCGTGCACAGCCCGGGCCCAACCTCCCGTGGGCGGCCACAGTGCCCGGATGGGCTGGCGGGGCTCAGAGCGGGCTGCTCACTTGCCTCAGGGGTCAAGTGCACGCCGGGCCCGTTGCCCCTTGCAGCCCGAGGCCCCTGCATGTGGGAAGTGCAGGCTGTGTGTGTGGATATGGTTCCCACATTGGGTAGGAATCACATCGACCTTGGCTCCCGGGACAGTGGGGGTGCTTGCCACGGGTAGCTGTTCTCTGACAAAGGACACAGTGTCTGGACTCACTTGAGCCCCCCAGTGGGGGTGGAGTGGGGAGGGTGGGCCTAGGGGAAAAGGGTGAAGTTCGGGGGATGTGCCTGGGGGTCATCATCCCAGGCTCTCTGCTTGCGTGTCTGGAAAATTCCGTAACCCAGCGTCAGCAAGGATTGATTACATGCCAAGGGGGCAAGCGGGAAGCGCCTTCCCGAGGGGTTCACCGTGTCTCTGAAAATGGAAACATCCATTCCCCTGGCCATCAAGTATAGCTCGTGCCAAAGACGGACCCGAGAGAGCCACCTCCCAGCCGCCCAGTGCCGTAGCCTGCACGTGCTCTCCACCGGCCCCTTCCCTCGCGGCCAACTCACCAGAGAATGCCTGCTCTGGCCTTGCAGCCTGGCACCTGTGGGAAGGAACCAGAAATGCTCAGGGTGGGCAGCACAGGGTGGGGGAGGGGCCACTCTAAACCTCCAGTGGCTCTGGGTGCCGGGCAGGGGTGAGCCCACAGGGGAGGGCCCCTCAGGCCACCCGGCTTTCCCGGAAGATGCTTTGTCAGAGCTAAGTTCAGGGCACTGTAAGAGGCTCTGGGCGCCTCCCCAGGGCCTGGCCGGATGGGCATGGGGCTGCAGGCCGTGGGGAGTCTTTCTGGGATGGCAAAATGGGCAACACGCTGGAGGCTCCCGGGGAGCACATGGAAACTTCCCTTAGGGAAGGGCTCCAGCTTGGAGCCAACCTGTTAATCCAGCAGCGGCCCGGGCCCCACCCTCCGGAAAGATCTGGAAGGTCCCCAGCTTTGTCACCTTTATCTCAGGGTATGCCCGCCGGCCTCTACCATCAGGCTGACCTGGTGAGACGTCCCTTAACCCCCAAGGCCCTTCCTGGTTGACCCCTGGGGTGTGACCCTGTTCGTGTTCTGGGCTTTTCTGTGCATTCTGCTGCTTTGTTTTAGAGAGTCAACACCCAGACTTTCTCCATCTGTCCTTGAGTTTGGCCAGAATTCAGGACTGAAGGCAGCTCGGCTTCCATAGAAATCTACTCCATCCTGACCTCTAAATTCAGAAGCTGCCACCCCCACCCCAAGCTGGGAGACGGCCTTGCGCAGAGCCCACATCTTGAAAAAGGCATCTGGCTCACGCCAACCCCAGAAATGCTTAGCCCCGACCACCGGCACCTGATCTGATACCTGGCATGGATCCCGTGGGGGCACCTGCTTCTGCACATGCTGCCGGCGGCCGCGGCCACCACCACAACCACGCCCAGCATGGCCAGGGCGCTCAGCACCGTCCCGTGGCCCTTCCTGTGGACGCCGGTGTGGCTCCCCGTGTTGCTGGGTTCGGTTGCCCTGGGCGTTTCTACAAGAGAGAGGAAAGGAACGCAAGACTTAATGGATGCAGAGGAAGGGAAGGGCCTTTTGACAGAGCAAGAGGGGCTTCAGGGAGGCACTGAGGCCACAGCATTTCCCTGGCACTGTTTTGGGATATTTGAACCCGAGGACGGTGCGGGGAGGGGAAGGGGCTCTCTCCCTCAGGGGAGCCTCCCCGTCTTCCCGGCGGCACCCCTGCCCGGGCCGCCCGGAGCCCAGCCTCTGCAGCGCCCGCACCGGGCCGGGCACGGCGGCAAGCACGCATTCCTCCTGGCTAATGCGATTTATTTTTCTCAGCTTTATTGCTGGCTTTAAAAAACCAAAAACCGAGATGAAATTCACATGACGTCAATGTTGCCATTTTGCAGTGACGTCCGTCCACAGCGTGGCATGGCCACCGTCGTGATCTGGTTCCAGAGCCTTTCCTTCACTCCAAAGGGCCACCGGACCCCATCTGCCGCGCCTGCCTCCCCTCCCCCGGCCCCCAAGCGGCGACCGTCTGGCTCTGGATTTGCCTGTCCCGGGCGTTTCATGTACGTGCAGCTGGAGAGTGAGGGCCTTTGCCGCCTGGCGTCTCTCACTGCCCGTGACGTCCTCAAGGCCCCTCCACGTGGCAGTGTTGCGTTCCTTTTCGTGGCTGAGTAACATTGCACCGTGTGGATGGATGTGTCAATCCGCTCATGATTTGGTTCGTGTGAATACTGCTGCTGTGAACGCTCATGTACCAGGATGTCTCATTTTCCGTTCTGCCGGGCCAGCGCCTGGGAGTGGAACGGCTGGGCCGTGCGGAAACTCTGCGATTACTGTTCCCCGCCGTGGCCGCAGCCCCTTGCACGAGGGGGCTAATCCCTCCTGTCTCAACGTCCCATTGCTTAGCCCCTTGGAACGTGGTTCTCACGGGCAGACCAGCCACGGCACCCCTGGGAAGCTTGTTACAAACGCCCCGGGTTTCTCCAAACCTGGAGAAACCGTTCAGTGGCTCGGTGTTGAGCGTGCACTGGAATCATCCTGAGAGAGGCTGAGAGGTGCTAATCCACTGGGTCTGGGCGTGAGGGGCTTGAACACGCCCCCCAGTTGTCCCACAGCACCACAACCAACACCACTGCCTAGGAGAACCTTCCGGTTCCCCTCCACCCGCCGCCCGGACTGCTCTGCCGTCAGAGGCGGGCTGTCAGGTGCAGCCCTTGTCCTGGTCCGTCTGGGCTCAGAGACCGTGACCACTGAGTCACAAGGCTGTGCGCTGATTTCAGGAAGGAAGATAGCGGCCCTGCCGAAGTTCCTGGGGGTCACGGCCAGCTTCACGGCGTGTGACCCACGCAGGCCTGCAGGCCCACACTCGGAAGCCTTGTGCGTGGTGTCACGCTCTGCTGCTGCCATCTTGGATTCTTATAACTCCTGAACGAGGAGCCCCGCATTTCTCTCCAGTTTGCATGGGGCCCTGCAGGTTACTGGGGGGGTGTCCTGAGGGCATCCCCACTGTCACGGACCCCACCTCCACCCGCTGGGAACCTGTCATCTCAACATCGTGACAGGGGCACACAGACTGAAGAGCCTCCGGCCTCTGTGAAGGAGCCACCTGCCTGCACCCCTCCCGCGGGGAAGCCCCGAGCCAGCAGCAGGCCCGGTTCCGGCAGCTGGAACCCCGGGTGGGGGCTCTGGCCTTCTGAAGGGGCACAAGCTCAAAGACTGTGCAGGCGTGCCTTTAATCCTGATGCCACTGCTGCCTGGTTCTACACAACCTTCCATCCTCAGTCCCTCATCTGTAAAATAGGTCAGCAAAGCTGAGCCTGAGAATGAACATTAAGTCAAGGAATGTGCACTGAGCGCCCAGCCCTCTTCCTGCCCTTCAAGGGCTGCCTGTCACCGCCTCCCCCTTCCAACCAGCTTTCGGAAACCACCGCCAAGGCACCTTGCAGGGGCCTGTCCTCCGAGTCACTGCAGGCCCACAGTCTTGGGCTGGCCTCCTCTCGCAGACCCCGGAGGACCTTACCTGCCTGGCCGATGCCAGTCAGGTTTTGGTGCAGAAGGACATTCTCTATGCAGCAGCCGACATTCACACTGGGGGTCCGCCTGATCCGCAGGACGCTGACCACATCATATAGGCCCCGTGCGTTCAAGAAGACCGTGCTGTTCTGCAGGCCCTCGGTCAGCACGCTGTTGTCCGTCTTGTTGATCCAGTACACATTTGGCTTTGGATAGCCATTCGTAGACGTGCACGTGAATGTGAGCTCCTCGTCCTCGGGAGGGCCGCTTGGGATGCTGACCATGGGCATGCTGTAGTTTGCTGCAGGAGAAGGGGATGGGTGGTGAGGGAGGCAGGTGCTGAAGGTCAGAACTGGAGGGGCACAGGGCATCAAGGCCAGGTTAGAGGGGAGGCAGCCCATCGTGCCCTTGACCCCGGCGGACTGTGGCCTGGGCAGCCCCCCACACCCTGTTCTGCCCATGAGTGGCCCAACTCCAGATGACACAGCCCGTCTCTGCTGAGCTGAGGTCCTTGGTCGACTTGAATTGTCTCCTAAATTCTGATCTCACTTAGTGCTTTATAGCACTCTCTCCTAATTTCATTCAGAATATCTAGCTGGAGTTGAGTTGGAGAATTTAAGGAAAAGACAGCAAGATTAGGAGTTCTTCCGTGAGACCAGATCAACTCAGGCTACAGAAAACTTCCTACCAGTTGGATGAGTTTTCAACCAGCTCAGCCCCACCCCCAGTTAGACAGAAACCCACCAGGAGAGATTAGGAGGTTCTTAACGGAAGAAGCAGGTGAATGAGCCCGGGACTGCCTTGTTCATACGTGCTCTGGGCTGTAAGGCTGGGGTGGGATGGCTCCCGCCAGCTTCGGTGGTCTTACCTGCCACATGCAGCGTCACCACCACGTCCAAAATCTTTTTTAACTGCAAGGATTTCCTAAACACCAGGCAGCTGAACTTCTGTTCGTCTTGGGGGGTGATGTTGTAGAGATGCAGGGAGAAGTCGCCGTGCTTCATGCTCTCGGGCGCGAGCCAGGCCCTGTCCCTGTAGCGGTTGTCCTCAAGGCCGGCCGAGCTGTTCCCAGAGAGGTAGTACGTCACGGTCGTCAGGTGGCCCAAGATGCTGATTTGCCAATACACATAAAGGTCATCTAAATCGAAAGTGTGTCCTTCGGGGAAAATGCAGCTGAGCTCGACGTCGCTGCCCACCAGCGCTCTGACTTCTTGCTCTTGGATATCTGCTGTGATTCGAAAAGTACAAAATTGATTTTCTGGGGTGCCTGGGTGGCTCAGTTGGTTAAGCAACTGCCTTCGGCTCAGGTCATGATCCTGGAGTCCCAGGATCGAGTCCCGCATCGGGCTCCCTGCTCAGCAGGGAGTCTGCTTCTCCCTCTGACCCTCCCCCCTCTCATGTGCTCTCTGTCTCTCAAATAAATAAAATTAAAAAAAAAAAATTATAAAATAAAAAAAATTGATTTTCTGCAGTTGATTCCTTGCCTGCAAAGTTACTCTACTGGGGGTTGGCAGGGGAAGGAAGCTTTTTGGTTGCAAGACTCAAACACCACCTCTGACTCATTTCAGCAGAAATGTAACGTATTAATCAGATAGATGTAGGAATGCGGTAGCATGTTTAAAATTCAGACGTTTTTGGCAGGCACTGTATTGTCCGACACGGACTGCTACCCTTACACGAGAGGCTAACAGCGGGAGAAGTGGGGGGACAGGTGGGCACCCAGGACTGCACTGCACTATTTTGGCTATTTCTTGGGTATTTACAATTAATTCAAAATAAAAGTTTTTTGGGTTTTTTTTAATTCAGATATTTACAAGAAACCAGTTTCTCAGCAACAGCATTCTAATGCCTCTCACACTACCTCAGGAAGGCTGACGCGCTGTACCCAGAGCGGATTTACCAACTGCAACCACAGGAACGCCTGCAGGGAAAGTGACGGTGTCCCCAGTCCGCCACCCTCGGGGCTGGAAGGCTCGGCGAGCCCTCGGCCTCAGCGGCAGTGCCGAATCCCCGTTCCTTGTTCTTCTGCAAGGTGGTGGCTTTGCAGGTTCCCCGGGGTGGACTGGGGCGAAGGGGTCAGGAGATACAGGGGGCCCCAGCTCATCGGGAAAGCAGAGGGACTGAAACACGTGGGACGAGCTGCCTTCTACCTCTGCGAAACACAAACTCAAATAAGAACTGTGGGGTCTGCACAAGCACTCCCCTTGGTGGCCTTCAGCTGCTCACTACCTGAGCCCCGGGACCCAGCTTTCTCTCAGGGGCCCCCAGAGAAGCAAGGGCCGTGGTGAGGACCCTGCTGATGCCCGCATCCGCAGCCTCAGTGGTCAGCCCTGAAGGGCTGGAGTAAGAGGTGCCCCCCAGGAGCCCCCCGGACTTACTGGCTTGCAGGGCGCCAAGCAGCAGCAGGAACATCCCAGGACTGGAAAGAAACAACCAGAAAGGCAGGTGAGTTCCTGCTCCTTCCAAACCGGGCAGACTGCTCCTCGCGGGTGGGAGCGGTTGTGCCCACGGAGAAATGCGACCACATCCACAGCCTCAGCCCGGCGGGCGGTTCCCGAGGTGGGGGGACTCCTCAAGGGGGGTCAGGGCCAGCCCAGCAGCGCTGCCAGTCCTGAGCCACCAGCCAGCTCCCCGAAGCCGACAGTGTGATCAGGAGGGGTGGTGGGAGCCGCCCCCAAGGTCACAGTCTCCAACCCAGCACTGGCCTGGCCTTTGCTGCACACGGAGTCCAAGAAATTGTATGAAATCAGAAAAATACACTTTGAAGGTGTTTGTAGTCAGAGCTACGTTTGAGTTTTGGGAGACAGAGGGGCACCTGGGTGCCACAGTCGGTTAAGCACCCGACTCTTCGTTTCGGCTCAGGTCATGATTTCAGGGTCGCGGGATCAAGTCCCGGGTCTGGCTCCCCGCTCAGTGGGAGAGTCTGCTCAAGGATTCTCGCTCTCCCTCTGCCCCTCCCGCTCGTGCTCTCTCTCTCTGAAGTAAATAAATCAATAAACCTTAATAAAAAAAAGCTTTGGGAGACAGAGAGGATCTAACGTGTGCAAGGGCAGTGGGAGCTGAGCTGCTGGGCAGCCCTCGGAAGGAACACGATCATTCTGAAACCAGAAACCGAATCGGGTGGCTCTTCCAGAGCTGGCGGGCAGCTTGGCCGCCAGGGGCCAGCAAATCCCTCTGGGGCCTTCCCAGACTCCTTGAAGCAGATCTTCAACCTGGGAGACTCCACACCCTGCATGCCTCAGCCCAGCCACCCCTTCCTGCAGGCCTCCCAGGATCCTGTGTCTGCTGAGTGAACTCCGGACCCGTGGGAACCCCTGCCCCGGCCCCAAGAGCTGTCGTCTGGGTGGACATGGAGGCCTGACCCTCGAGAGCACATTCAGGCATGTCCTGCCAAGCCAGACCCTGGGCCATCAGGGGCTCCCCCACACACTACAGATGTCACAGCCTGCAGGCAGGCCTGTCTTCTGTCACTGTCCCTGCTGGGGCCACCATTCCTGCCCTCGGGGATGACTTCCATACCCTTATGTCCAGCTCCCTTCCCTGGGGCCAGAGCTACCTTCTAGAACACAAGGCTGTGAAAACCCCTCAGTGACCCCCCCATTGGTCTCACATGGTGCCCCCTTTCTGTGCTGAGGGCTCAGGGGGCATATGCCTGCCAGGGCCTCGTGGGGTTATCTGGGGGCTCCCTGGGGGCGTGAACACATGCTCTGGGTTCTGGGGAGGGAGACAGATTTGCCTTCTCCCTCGGTGCTCCCTGGGCCCTTGCTGTCCCACCTGGCTCCCAGGCCAACCCCCCAGGCTCTGGGGTATGGGTGGCTGTGACATTCAAGGACCTACATTTATAACTAGGGAGACTGGGTGGCAGGACCCAGGTGTCGCTGCCACACCGGCTTATCAAGGGGACACAGCCTGTCGACCCCATGATGTGACCTGAAGGGGGTATTCTGGCAAAAACCTGGGAGAAAGCAGTCATCTACACCTTCCCACTAGCAAGGACCAGGAGTGATGGGCTGGCCTGAGCTCGTCCTCCCTGGAGGCTCCGCTGATGAGCGAGGGGGATCCTAGGTGTGTGGGGGGAAGGCATGGCACAAGACAGTGCGCACCAGCTGGCCCTGGAGAGTGATCCTGGCACTGCGAGGTCAAGGCCTGCCTCTGGGCAATCCGTTGGGGGCTGCGGG